TCCCTATCTCTCGATTGTGCAGAATTTTAGCAGACCAAAAATGAAGTTGAGAATATCAAAACTAACTCCAAACTAGAATACATAATTAACTATTAAAAAATCAATCTAATTTAGAATAAATAAATTAGATTTACTAAAAAGAGAACATAGATCAGCTTAAATGTAGATATTTCAATCCTGTCTTAGGAAAAGCAATACAGAACAATGTTTAGAGACTCCTTGATATTTTTAACAGGATGTTGCATAATCAACCAAAAAGAAACAAGAAAAAGATTGTTCAATTAGTCCATCTCAATTCTCAATATGGTGGTCTCTGTATTTTTTCAGTCAAAGTGCCTATCTTTTTACTCCGGTGCTGGATGCCAGACAGACATCAAGCTCTATAATACCATAAATCTTAACAAATAAATAATCAGTTCCCCTCTGAAGGTTCTTAGAGACATCAGGTGTACAGTTAGATATTTCACAAATATGAAAAAAGGAGTGCAAATTATATGCAGTTCTGCAATAAAATAACACAATGAAATATCTCCATCACTGAAAAAGTGACTCCACAAATGCAGTGGCGAAAATGGAGAAACATGCTTTTATGACTTTGTGTTCTAAGAACATTCTACGGTAAAGAGCAATAACTACCTCAAATCTTGGATCTTGAGCAACCAGGCTTTCAAAATGTGTAGCCAACTTGACATGGTTTCCTATATAACCCTGTCGGTTTTTGTCACGCCCCAACTCATAAGTTTGGGCATAATAAATGCCACACATCTATAGGGTAACCCCATAAATGTGTAAGGTCATCTACTAGTATATCAATACAATCTCTCATAAAATTCTAATGTAGCTTGGCAACTTAAAAATAAACAATTCAATTAACAAATCTTAATAGTCTCCAAATAACAAAATCAAATCTCTTAACCAAAATACAAAATGATTAACAACTTATTCCATAAAATCAAATAAACTTCCAATTGAACTATTACTAAATTTCTACCAATTTACTCTAACAATCTCTCAATCTCTATACAAAACCCAATGCTCATACTTTTTCACCTAAAATGAGATGAAATTTGCAAACGTGAGTTTAAAAACTCCATAAGTAGTATACCCGTCCATCACAATCAAACATAAAAATTTAAAACTGAATTTTTATTAAAAATGAAACAATAAAAAAAAAAAAAAAGAATTCTTTCCTCAAAACCAAAATATTTCATTTTTCATCCCTTATGGCTGTGTAACAATCCACAATTCACGATCAATGATACTCAATCATCAATTTACAATACACTATCCACAATCCACAACCAACAATTCACAATCCATAGATCTTGGGTCTATCACAATACCAACAACTCAACCCTCACAAGGGTTACTCATACAACCAGGATAAATAAAAGAAATCGTTCCAAAAATAGCCATTTCAATAATGTTGGAGAAAAACAAATTTAAATTAACCACCTCCACATAGCCACAATCTCATCTCAAATTTAAATAACAAATATTATGCTTGATCCACAATTCATCTCATTCTATCATTAAAAATATTTTAATAAAAATCATTCTCCAAGAAATAAATAAATAAACAAATAGATAAATAAATCAAAACTAGATAAAACCCATTTAAATCCATTGATTTACTTTAAAAATAATGGAGGGTATAACTACTTACCTCAATAATTATCTCTTAAAATGCAATTCCACACAATTACTCGGAGCCTAAAGAAAAA